TAGAACAAACTGGCATTAAGGTGGTATTTGATTTTTTAAAAACTCTTTTTGAGTGCTTATATATGCAGGTGGAAAGACGATTATGTCTGACTCTTTGTCTTTTAGAAGATCGCAGACGTTATGACGTCTGCGTTCCTCTTATCCAAAAAGACATGGACCAACGTCTATGGACAGGAAGACGTTTTCACAGAAGTCCTCTAGATTAAAAAACACAAAAAATATATAACATAAAAATGTTAACGTCCCTCTTTATTATAGAATGGTTGAATCAGATGTTTACCCTTTTTTGTTTGTATGGAGTTGAAATTTTTGAGTAATGTATAGTGTCATAAAATATCTACTATAATAAATAAAGATCCATTTTGCCAAATGTCAATTTCTCATTAGTTTTTGGCACTTGTCATTTTGTGATATTTTTGAAAATAAATAATATCCACATGTAAATTTTTGGTTTTTTTCAAATTTTAAAATTAAAAAGCCACATAATACTTGTATTTATATATGTAAAGTATTAAATATAATAAATATGATAATAATTGCAATTAATACGTTTTCTTCATTCATTATTTTGAAATTTTATTTTAAAAAATACTTATTGTTTATTCTTTGATATTTAATTTTTAATCAACCCGTGTAATACATGGGTTTTACACCTAGTTAATAATAAATAGAAAATAAACATTAACCAAAAAATTATAAAAACGATAGAAAAAAAAAAGAATTAGTTACTCCTAATTATCCAAAAAAAAATTTAGATGTATGATAATAATAAAAAATCATAATTGTTATTTGATTCCATGGTTATATTGTTGGGTTTTTATGGTAAATCCAAATACTTAATGACAAATAAGTGAAAAATACTCAATGATGAACTTTATTACTATTAAACAATAACTAATATTTGTTTAGTAACAAAAGAGGATTATAAACAATAATAAATATAAAGGTTAGTCGTAATTGAAATTAAATTATCAAATTCTAATATATAATAATACAATATAAATTTTGAATCATATACTTAAATACCCTCCTAAAACATTGGATTAAAATTTTGGTTTTTCGGTTAACCGTCCATGAAAAAAAAAACATGAACTGTAACCAAATCAAAAAAGCGAATATTTTGCGGTTTGGTTACAAAATAGGAAAACGTAAAAATATCGTTTTGGTTAACCTCAAAATCGTCACGGTTTATCGGAATAACAATGTCACGTTTCGAAACCACAATGTACGTGTTGATGATAATGAAGACGAGGTTGTTGCACATGTTGAGTTTTTATTCAAAATGTGTTTCAAAAACATAAACAATGCGGCGGATGACTTAAGATCTGAACAAAAATAAAACTAATTTTATTTCCACAAATGATCATTTTGCAAGATTTAGAAAAATTATGTAACCCTCTATTTCGAATCGTTTCATAATTCGGGGTCGAGACCCAAAGTTCAAGTATCATAAGGCTTCGGGCTTTGGGAAAGAGAAGTTTAGGCCCATTTGAATCTGGGGCAATGTAGATTATATGATCCAAGAGTTCGGTTTGAGCTTTGGAGTCAAAGGGTAAAATAGGAAAAGTAGTGTGTTCAGACTTCTTTTATGAATTATGAATTTTAGTTCGATGTGTTTTAAGTCAAAAGTAATTAGATAGAGTTGTAGAACTCCTCAATACCTTTCCGTGGATATAAAGATCGTCGAAATCGAAGTTGAAACGAAGAAGTTACGATCGTTTGAAGTTTGGATAATTTTGGGTTAAGCCGCGTACACTGGGCGTACGGGGAGTATGTTAGGCGTACTAAGGCATCCTGAGTATGATGGGCGTACTAGGAGTACGTTGGGCGTACGTGATCAGTGCTCAAACCCTATTTTCGTGGTTTGAGCCCTATTTAAGCTCCTTAACCTCCCCAAACCCATTCCATTTTCAACCTCCACCTCTCCAACACCCTCCCATGACAACCCTAACCCTAGTTTGAGCCTTTTGAGCAAAAGAAGGCATTTTTGAGCGCTTTGAAGTGTTCTTGGTTTATCTTGGAGAAGAATGAGCTCATTGGAGAAGTGTTGTTTGTATTGGAGCTTGTAGATCTAGACTCTGTTCACCTAGATCTCTCTTCTAGAGGTATAAAGTTTGAATCTTGATGATGCATTTGTTAGATCTAGCTAGTTTTGGATGTTATGAGCTTTTGGTCATTTTAGTGCATAGAGTTTAGATCTTGAAAGTTTGAGACCTTGTTATGGATAAAGTTGGAGACTTTATCAATCTAAACATCATTGTGATCAGATCTGAAAGTTGGAGCCATGGACTTAATGGATTAAGTTGAAAAAGATGCACTTTTGGTCCCTTTGATATTTAAAGGCTAGATCTTGGTGGTTTGGACCATTCTAATTGATAAATTTGGAAACTTTATCCATTATGGAGCTTTTAAGATCGATAAAATTGTGATCTTGATCCTTCTATTCCTTCCATGAAAGTGTCATGATGTCTTAATGGATTAATAAGTTAAGGTTTTGGCTTTTGGACCTTTTCTAGACATGGAAAGTCATAAAGGTGGAAACTTTATGAATTAGACTGATGTTGTGGGACTAGATCTGAGTGTTGGATGAAAGGACTTAAGAGATTAAGCATTTAATGGAAAAATGTCATCTGGCCGAGTACGTTGGGTGTAACTTTGAGTACGCTGTGCGTACTCGTATGGGGTCCCGTTTCTGGAGTTTGACTTGTTAACTTCGACTTCCATTGACCGTTGACTTTTTGACCAAGTTTCAGACTGGAGTTTGACTTGTTGACTTTGACTTCCGTTGACCGTTGACTTTTTGACTAAGTTTGACATTGGGTTAAACTTGAGGGTTTGGGGCTATTAATTAAGATTTTATATGGTTATGGTATTAGTGGATTCACGGGTGCAAGCAGTGCAGAAAAAAGATCGTGTCGTAGTGTTTCAGAGTTCTTCAATTCAGGTGAGTCTTCTCCCTATGCTTGTGAGTCGAAGGCACCAATGCCTACTCACTAAATTGTGTATATATGATGCTAGCTGTCTTTGTGACCCTTGCATGTTTGTATGAGCCTGTGTGGTAATATATATATATATAT